AGTGCCGTTTGCTCCAGTTGTGAGTGGAAATATATTAGGCCCTTCACGTGCTGTGGAGGCCTTCTGAAGTTCTGTTACATGTACGTCAACATTTTCCTGCTGTACGAATACTAATGGGTACTGCGGGTAAATGTATGTACATGTACATGTACATGTAATGCAATAATCGCCTGCACCTTTGTGGGCTCATGCACTGACTGTACTTGACTCAAGCATAGCCTGCTGGCATGTACATTGCATAACAACCTTTGTCAATGGCCACGTGACGAGGACAGTCATGTTGACCATGATCTACTAGTACCCGATCTACGAAGACAACTACAAAGTACAAGACTACATCACCATAATTTATAACAATAATTATAATTTGAAACTCGGATGTTGAGCCATAAATAAATGTAAAAGAGAAAAGGACATATGGATACGAGTTAAGAGTAACTCTCCATCACTGTAACATGATACTATATACAGTCAGAAAGTGCAATAACTAGGCACAAAACTGACAGGGTACTGAGACATTCGACGTCCTGACACCTAACTTCAACACGGCTTGTACAATTCGTTTTCGCAAAGCTTCCCTTTCTTTACTTATCTTTGATATTTATGACCCACCCAAGTTGGGTGGTGTGCTGCTTTGCTGCTTCGAATTGTAGTTAGACCGCTTTGTCAAATATCGTACTGGTCTCGTCATCGTCCAGTAACAATCGACATTCTTTGTTCAGTTGGGACTATAGCTTTTGCTCGTTTTCGTTGCGCTTGCCTTCCCCTCTTTGGTCTTTCCATAACCTTGAACCTTCCAAGTTGGAAGGCTGTCGGTTAGCGCTACGGAGATGTGTTGAAGTTAGGTGTCAGGACGTCGAATGTCTCAGTACCCTGTCAGTTTTGTGCCTAGTTATTGCACTTTCTGACTGTATATAGTATCATGTTACAGTGATGGAGAGTTACTCTTAACTCGTATCCATATGTCCTTTTCTCTTTTACAATAATTATAATAATAATTATTATAATACTAGCAATAAAGAGAACAAATTCTGCAGTCATCGCCACACTACAACGAAGTCATGAAAGTTTACCAGAATTAATTTTCTTGTCACATTCATCCGTGGAAAGTTGTGACTGAAGAGTAGCCATGCTGAACAATGATTAAATATACATTCAATGATGTGTTACGAGAACAAAATACAGTGCCAAAATAGAATGAGGGAAGGTGAGACAATAGAAGTGAAGTGAGAGCTAAGTGCAACGGCGGGTGAGAAACTAACAATTATAACGCTAAAACTGTGTAGTGAGACAAACAATCATGCTGTGCACCTACGAAAACAATTTTGACGCAACTACATGTTTCTTCTGCTTACAAAGATCAGGCTTATGCAAACGAATACAAACAGCCTCAAGTACTTTCAACTGACTAGCATACCGTGCACGACAAAGAACAGAAAAACTAAAATCATCATACACCTGCAGACACTTAGGGTGAGACAACAAGTGAAGAAAAACGGCAGACTTCTTACGATCACAATCACCATCTGATTCCTCGTCTCCAACAACCGCAACCTCGTCCTCCGTCTCATCTCCCAACTCGTCCTCAGTGTCGTCCTCCGTGTCATTCTCCTCATCAACACCGATCGGTCCCAGGCTCGCTTCATGTTGTTTAACCTCTGTTCGTTGACTCCTCCTTTGATCTTGATGGTAAATTGTTACCATTGTTGTTGTTGTTGTTGTTGTTGTTGTTGTTGTTGTTGTTGTTGTTGTTGTTGTTGTTGTTGTTGTTGTTGTTGTTGTTGTTGTTGTTGTTGTTGTTGTTGTTGTTGTTGTTGTTGTTGTTGTTGCTGTTGTTGTTAAATCTTGTGCTCCCAGTGTCCTCGACTTTCCACTGATGAATGTGACAAGAAAATTAATTCTGGTAAACTTTCATGACTTCGTTGTAGTGTGGCGATGACTGCAGAATTTGTTCTCTTTATTGCTATTATAAAATTGTTGTCTCCACGTCGATTATTTGAATATAATTGTTGTTATAAATTATTATATTATAATATAATATAATATACGTAGTACAGTGTAGTACCGTGTTGGTGGTTTGTAGGGCTTGGCGGATAATGCCGGCAGAAAAATTGGCAGAATTCGGTACTTTTTCTGGTAAGTTTCATGCATGTTTGGTATGTGGATAAAGAAATGGAGCAGAATTCGAGGAATTGCCCGCCATAAGGTTTGTATGGTTCTGCCAATTTCGGTGCAAAAAAAGCAGAATCTGCCACCTTTTCGAGCATTATCCGCCAAGGCCTAGTGGTTTGACAGCATGAAACAAGGTGGCGGACACCGTGTAAGAAACAGTGACCATGGTGACCTTTCTACAAGTACAACCATCCACACCGGCACACGGTTCCGAACAAGGACGTACATGTAAGCTGTCCTCCTGGACTCCTCCACCTAAATGGAGGTTTGCACATTGCAAACCGTAGTTAACATTCACGAAACCAACAAGCCAAAGGCGCCATGGCAACCAGTAAACGAACCCGCAAAAATAACAATAATTAGAATAAGAAACAATTTTCTTGTCACATTCATCAAAAAGATAATATTATGTGAAATGTTTCTAGCCAAGTAGCGTTTGCGCAGAGCATCATTCAGGGTTTCAACCTGACTCCTAGAGTATCTCCGTTTAAAATATGCAAATAATCGTTGTAGTGTGGCGATGACTGCAGAATTTGTTCTTTTTATTGCTATTATAAAATTGTTGTCTCCACGTCGATTATTTGCATATTTTAAACGGAGATACTCTAGGAGTCAGGTTGAAACCCTGAATGATGCTCTGCGCAAACGCTACTTGGCTAGAAACATTTCACATAATATTATCTTTTTGATGAATGTGACAAGAAAATTAATTCTGGTAAACTTACATGACTTCGTTGTAGTGTGGCGATGACTGCAGAATTTGTTCTTTTTATTGCTATTATAAAATTGTTGTCTCCACGTCGATTATTTGCATATTTTAAACGGAGATACTCTAGGAGTCAGGTTGAAACCCTGAATGATGCTCTGCGCAAACGCTACTTGGCTAGAAACATTTCACATAATATTATCTTTTTGATGAATGTGACAAGAAAATTAATTCTGGTAAACTTACATGACTTCGTTGTAGTGTGGCGATGACTGCAGAATTTGTTCTTTTTATTGCTATTATAAAATTGTTGTCTCCACGTCGATTATTTGCATATTTTAAACGGAGATACTCTAGGAGTCAGGTTGAAACCCTGAATGATGCTCTGCGCAAACGCTACTTGGCTAGAAACATTTCACATAATATTATCTTTTTGATGAATGTGACAAGAAAATTAATTCTGGTAAACTTACATGACTTCGTTGTAGTGTGGCGATGACTGCAGAATTTGTTCTTTTTATTGCTATTATAAAATTGTTGTCTCCACGTCGATTATTTGCATATTTTAAACGGAGATACTCTAGGAGTCAGGTTGAAACCCTGAATGATGCTCTGCGCAAACGCTACTTGGCTAGAAACATTTCACATAATATTATCTTTTTGATGAATGTGACAAGAAAATTAATTCTGGTAAACTTACATGACTTCGTTGTAGTGTGGCGATGACTGCAGAATTTGTTCTTTTTATTGCTATTATAAAATTGTTGTCTCCACGTCGATTATTTGCATATTTTAAACGGAGATACTCTAGGAGTCAGGTTGAAACCCTGAATGATGCTCTGCGCAAACGCTACTTGGCTAGAAACATTTCACATAATATTATCTTTTTGATGAATGTGACAAGAAAATTAATTCTGGTAAACTTACATGACTTCGTTGTAGTGTGGCGATGACTGCAGAATTTGTTCTTTTTATTGCTATTATAAAATTGTTGTCTCCACGTCGATTATTTGCATATTTTAAACGGAGATACTCTAGGAGTCAGGTTGAAACCCTGAATGATGCTCTGCGCAAACGCTACTTGGCTAGAAACATTTCACATAATATTATCTTTTTGATGAATGTGACAAGAAAATTAATTCTGGTAAACTTACATGACTTCGTTGTAGTGTGGCGATGACTGCAGAATTTGTTCTTTTTATTGCTATTATAAAATTGTTGTCTCCACGTCGATTATTTGCATATTTTAAACGGAGATACTCTAGGAGTCAGGTTGAAACCCTGAATGATGCTCTGCGCAAACGCTACTTGGCTAGAAACATTTCACATAATATTATCTTTTTGATGAATGTGACAAGAAAATTAATTCTGGTAAACTTACATGACTTCGTTGTAGTGTGGCGATGACTGCAGAATTTGTTCTTTTTATTGCTATTATAAAATTGTTGTCTCCACGTCGATTATTTGCATATTTTAAACGGAGATACTCTAGGAGTCAGGTTGAAACCCTGAATGATGCTCTGCGCAAACGCTACTTGGCTAGAAACATTTCACATAATATTATCTTTTTGATGAATGTGACAAGAAAATTAATTCTGGTAAACTTACATGACTTCGTTGTAGTGTGGCGATGACTGCAGAATTTGTTCTTTTTATTGCTATTATAAAATTGTTGTCTCCACGTCGATTATTTGCATATTTTAAACGGAGATACTCTAGGAGTCAGGTTGAAACCCTGAATGATGCTCTGCGCAAACGCTACTTGGCTAGAAACATTTCACATAATATTATCTTTTTGATGAATGTGACAAGAAAATTAATTCTGGTAAACTTACATGACTTCGTTGTAGTGTGGCGATGACTGCAGAATTTGTTCTTTTTATTGCTATTATAAAATTGTTGTCTCCACGTCGATTATTAGAATAAGAAACAGAAAAAAAAATCAAGTTAGTGTGACAACAAATGCAAGGTTCCCTTTCCGGTGAAAGTGCTGCAACTGAGTGTGTCATTGCTGACCAACAATTTGTTTTCGGCTGGCCCGTTTGAGGAGCCTCCTGTTCTCCCCATTCACACCTCTGGCATTGGAGTTGTACCTAAGAAGTCGGGTGGCGTCCGCCTAATCATGCACCTCTCCGCTCCTGCTGGCAGGAGCATAAATGATGGCATCAAGAACTCAGACTTCTCCTTCCAAATGATCTCGGTGGATACGGTGGCCGATCATGTCATGCGCACTGGGAAGGGGGCATTGCTATGCAAAGTGGACATCAAGCATGCATTCCGGCTCTGTCCCGTTCATCCCAACGACTGGCCTCTACTCGGAATATGTTGGCGGGGGAAGTTTTATGTCGACAAAGTGCTGCCTTTCGGCCTGCGCTCCGCACCAGCTTTATTCAACCGCCTAGCCGAAGCACTGGCCTGGCTACTTCGCCACAACTACGGTTTGAAGTGTCTGGAACACTACCTTGACGATTTCATCAACGTCTCACCACCAGCGCCGGTGGTCGCCACATCAACAGCAGCGGTGCACATGGCCACCATCCTGGAGGTTTTCGCCAACCTCGGGTTTCCCATCGCGGAAGGAGCAGACAAGGTTGTCGGTCCGGCCACGGTCATGACAGTGCTCGGCATTGAGCTGGATACTCAGGCTCTGGAAATGCGGCTGCCGGCCGACAAGCTTCTCGAGATCAAAGCGCGGCTCAACGAGTGGGCGGTCAGCCCATCGTGCACGAAACGTCAACTGTTGTCACTAATTGGCCTCCTCTCATTTGCGTCCAAAGTGGTTGCGGCCGGCCGCACCTTCACCCGTCGTCTCATCCATACCAGCACCACCGTGACAGGCTTAGATGAAGAAGTGCACCTGGACGCCGATGCTCAAGCAGACATCCGTTGGTGGAAGGAGTTCCTCCCACACTGGAACGGCCGAGCGCTTCTGCGTGACCCAGTATGGTCGAAGCCCCCAGACTTTGAGCTCTATACCGATGCTTCCGGCCTGGGATTTGGAGGTTTCTTTCAGAGTGCCTGGTTTTGCCAAGAATGGGGCCCGGAGCACCAGCACGGCCCTTTCTCCTCTATCATGTGGCGGGAGATGTATCCCATTGCTGTGGCCGCGCAATTGTGGGGCCCGCAGTGGCAGACGAAGAAGATCCTCCTCCATTGCGACAATCAAGCTGTCGCCACAGCATGGGAATCCGGCTCATGCCGGAATCTGGAGGTCATGAACCTCATACGGACCACCCTGCGTATTGCGGCACGCTACAACTTCATCCTGTTGATCCGTCACATCTCAGGTATCGACAACAGTATTGCGGACGCCCTCTCCCGTCTACAGCTCAGTCGCTTCCGCTCGCTAGCTCCGTCTGCCAATCCGGACCCAGTTCCACTGCCAACTCAGATCGTCTAATGATGTCTCACAATATATTCACAGCCCCTTGGGGTGTCCGTTTTGCTGTGTCTGGCCTTCGCCGTCACTACACTGACTTATTGTTATTTTTTTTCTGCCATACCAACTACACCGAAACCAATTTCTCAGTTCAATCTCTCCCTTACTATTCGCCCACCCTTTAGCACGGGCGGCTCTCCTCCCTACACTGCCCCCCCGCTTCGCTGCTCTCTTTTGGAAGGAAGTGGCTATGCAGTGCTCATATAGTGCAATCCTGCAAAAACCAAAAATTGGCTCTCAACGGTCATAGGCGTTTTGGCATCGTGGTATAGCTATGCCCCTATGTCAGGGTATTAAGTTGAGTACTGGGATGCTCATTGCACTCAGACTGGCACCGGGATGCCTATGCGAGCGATAATTATGTGGGCCGGCATCAAGATGGCCTTAGCGTGGATGCGTACACGTTACACCCTGGGCTTGATGCGAGGCTAAGTGATGCATTCTTAACTGTTTACGGCAATTCACATTTAAGGTGGCAGTCTGGGTTCGCGGCCCGACCGCATGAACACAGCCGTAACTTCCATAATAATTGATGAATTTTGCTCAAATCTTGACCACATACCCAGTGTATTTCACTAAGTCCAATGAAGTATAAATCAAGCTCACACATGGGAATCCGCAGACACAATAGTCAAATCTGCGATTATGCCGTACCACCAATACCTTAGACGCAATATGCAAACGCAGAAAGAAGCTGGGTAGAAACTGAGTGCTCCACAGGATTTCCTTCACATATACCTAGGTGCTAAGTGGAGCGGAATTTTGAAATCATATTCAGAACAAAGTACTCAAGCTGTCAAACAAAAATCATGCAATCGCGCAAAATTTAGGTCCTCGATCAGTAGCACTTTACTCAAAGCTACTAGACAAATATAAAAATCCATGACACTTAGCACCTTGATAAATGCTCACAGTTTCCAAAAATGTATGGTTTATGGGGTCTGTGACTTACAGGTTCTTCGCTACGCTGTCTAAGAGGTACGGGACTCAGTGGAAAATGGAGAAAAAAAGTGCTCTGTGCAAGTACAGATGGAGGTATGTCTGTCCAACTAGAACTTACTAGAACTTAGTCGAAGCCACCAGCTTCATATGTCAAACCTTCTTCCTCTTGCTGCTCATCCTGGATGCCTTTCCTGATCCTCCTTCGCTTCTTTCGTGACCTCTTCCCTTCTTCTGACTTCTTTCTGGCAGCATGTGCCTGTCTCTCACGGTCTAGCAGCTTGATGAGACGTGTCGTATGGTGTCCAGTAGGGAGGCCCATCTCGTCCAGAACGCGTTTCACTGCCACACCTCCATCATTGAACCAGGCCACGGCCAGGTAGACGCACATCTGGACAGTGGGAGCGGATGCAAAGCCTGTCTTTGGACACAACTGCCACACGAGTCCATTGAACGCTTCGTTGCGATTCTGCGTAGCACCCTTCTGGCAGCGCTCGAGCAAACTCCGGTCGGACAACCGAATGTAGACCGGCTTCAGTTCCTTCCATACTGCCTCTGGCAGGATATTGTGGTGGGCGTAGACATCACCACCTGCCTGTTGCTGCTGCCATCTACACCAGCTGTTAATTCCAGGCGGACAATACTGGTGCTGAGGTTTACTGTCGCTGGATGCACGATGCATGAGGGATGCCCATATGGCCCTGGCCATGGCTTGCAAGTCTCCGCTGTTGTTCCGCACAGCCATGCCATAGTAGGCTTGCAGCTTGTCGATCATGGCATCCGTGAGGCGACCACGTCCGCCTATAGTGCGCCCATCAGCAAGCTTCTTGCCCGCAAGGTTTTTCTTCAGCTTTCTTAGGCTGGTACCGATGCGTTTTTGAACGTGGCCGACACATTCCTCCTTGACTACAGGCACCTCGGGCCCATACGGACAAGCGTCACGCACAGCCTTAAAACTCTTGGTATCTCCATCACCAATGTAGGTGGTGTACCTCAGCTTGCGGCTCTCAAAGGACCTGGCCCACAGAGTCTTGGCGGCTGCACTCTCCATGGCAGGAGCTGATACAGTGGTGTTGACTGAGCAATCGTGTTCGGCAATCTGTCGATCATAGTCATCTTTGGTTAGCTCTCCCTTCTCTTTTCTAGACGCCAAGTGCGTGCACTTGTGGCAAAACTTTGAAAGCACTTCGCAGTCCACCACTTTGCCGACATCATATGCAATTATAGTGAAGGCTCCGAAGAGCGATGCGAATCCTCGGCGCATCCAGGTACCGTCATAGGAAGCAGCGATATCGCTACCCCCATCTGCTGCGGACACTGCTTTCTCAGCTGCCTCAGTCATGCTACGCTCAGCGACGTTCTTGGACGCGGAATGCAGGCCTTTAGCATGGCTGTAAAATGTCGACCGACTCATAGGTGATGGCATATTCAGTGCACCCGCCAGCTTTACCATTGATTGACGTCCACGGCCAATCAGTCGCATTCCGAATACTGCTCGTCTGTTCACCTCCCAGACCCGATTGAACTTCTTGGACATAAATTCGCTTGCTATGTCGCCGCAGTTAACACAGGAAAGCTCCAGGCATGATGCAAGGCCTCCCCGTTGCGATTCGCTGATCGTGACTGCGCCATTACAGCCACTGCAACAAACTGCAGCTGACAAAAGCTGCTGAAGGCACTCGAGATCAATCAGGCGAAATCCATGCGCCCCTTCCTCACACTCTTCATCCAAGTCACTGTCGGAGGAACTGCTGTCGACTTCACCGCCACTTCCATCACTATCGCTGTTTGAAGACGTGGCTTCAGCTGACACTTCAAGGTCGTCATCAGACAGTGGCAAGTCAGGAATTTGTTTTGCAGGCGAAATTTCACCAGAGGGAGCCTTCGGCGCCTGAGACACTCCATAGAACGTTCTTTTCCTTTTCTTAGATCGTCCGGGCTTTCCCTTGGCTCTAGACTTCCCCATAGTAGCCAACGAAGGGGTTAGCTCCAAGAAACAATTACTCCAAAACAATTACTCCAAAAGTAACTAGTTTCAACAGCAGAGCGATCAGCTGAGATCATGAGAGTCGAAATTTGAATTTTTTTGAATTTGCGCATGCGCAAAAGTTATCTTGGTTGCCATGGTGACAAACATCGTGCGCGGCTGTCAGTCTGCAGCGCAGAGGAGTACCAGGAGTCGCTCCAGAAAATTTTAATGAAATCGCTCAAAGATTGACGGTAAAAATCGGAATAGTGTGCAAACCTAAATTTTGTAGAAATTTGCTGATATTTCAGTATTTCAAAAACAATTGTGCAGACTTTGCGCGGCTATATCTCCGGAAGGAAGCACCCGATTACGCTCAAATTTTCAGGATAAACCCTTTGGACCATACACAAGACGCTGCCAGTGAAAAAATACAGAAAATCGAAACTTTGTTTTTTGACCCTCTGAACCCAGACTGCCACCTTAATTGCGCGGAACTAAAACAAGCAGTATGGGGCCAAGTTGCCCACAGCCATAAGCGAGCACCGGGATGCTTTAACACCCAGACGGGCACCGGGTTGCGCGTAACAATACTAAGGAGAGCACCGGGATGCATATGTGAGCGGGTTGCGTTGTAAGGGGCACCGGGATGCCTATAATTGTTAGTCAAGCGGGCACCGGGATGCCCATATGAATTTAGCGGTAAGCGAGCACCGGGATGCTTATCACACCTGGACGGACACCGGGTTACACGTAATAATAAGTCCGGCACCGGGATGCCCAAGAGGATGGGCAGGTAGCGAAAGGGATACCTAAAATGCCCATATTTAGTATAGCCGGCACCAAGATGCTCTAAATACGCAAACTGGCGACGGACGCTGATGATTGTGAGGCGAGCACCGGGATGCTCAAATGCGTCCAAACCGGCGCATTAATACCGGGATGCTTCGGTAAATAAATACGTATTGCAAGCAGCCAGTTAGTTTGCCTTCAAAGTCATTGTAGCTGGGCACAGCGATGCGATGGTCTGTCATGTTTTGCTCTTCGTACTGGCTTAACTGCTTGCTTATTTTATTATCCACTGCGTTTGGTGCTGCTGCCGTGTCCCCACATTGCAGATGGGCGGGTTCGATATCATTCACCTCCAGCCACCACCAGGAGGGAGATACTCGACGCTCAAGCCAGCAGGCTCCTGGCCCAATCGGTGGCGCCCCGGACACGCCAGACCTACAGCCCTGGAGTCAGGTCCTACATTCAGTTTGCGCAGCAGCTCCGCTTCAGCCATCTGGCACCGACGGTCAATGATATAGTTCTCTTCATGACGTCACTGTCCGCGTCACTGTCTGGGAAGACAATCAGGGTATACCTAGCAGCCGTCCGCCACCACTTTGTATTGAATGATGGTCCGGTGGATCTGCTCAGAGCACCCAGGATACTGGCCTTGCTGAAGGGCATCGACCGTGACAAGCTGACGTCCAGGCCAATGCCTGTGCCTCCGTCATCCAGACGTGCGGTGACACCCAACGACCTCAAGGCTATCCGCGAATTCCTGGAGTTCTCGCATTATGCACCGCAAGACAAGGCCATGCTCTGGGCAGCAGTACTCACAGCTTTCCACGGGCTCATGCGTGTGAGCGAGTACACGGCGCCATCACCAACAACGGTGGATGCTCACAGGACTCTTCAGAGGAGCCATGTCGCCCTCTCAGAGGAGAAGGTCACGATCACCCTAGGGGTAACGAAGACGGCACAGTCGGGCGCTGGGGGCACAGTGTTACTGCATGCAAGCAGGTATCCCGCAACCTGCCCTGTGCGTTCAGTCGCTGCCTACATAAGTGCCAGGGAGTGGGCGGATACAGGTGCCCCATTCTTCGCCTTCCGCGAGGGGCGCTACCTAACCCCGGGCGACGTGAACGCCATTCTCAAGAGGGCTCTCGGCCCAGGCGTTTCAAGCCATTCTCTGCGGATCGGTGGTGCTACGGCCATGGCCGAACGACAGGCCCCGGAGTGGCAAATTCAAGCGGCAGGGCGCTGGTCAAGCTCTGCGTACAAGGCGTACGTCCGTGTCCCGTCGGGCATGCCAGCTTATCAGCAGACAGAGCTAGCGTAGAGAGCAGTTCGAAGCTTCACGGGGTTCATGTGCCTAAGTAATGCATTCAAGTCACGGCCCTGCGTCCGCGGCCACCCACTCCCTTTCTTGGAGGCATGTGGGGTTGGCGGTCAATCGCCTGCCCGCAGCTTCGGGCAAACACATGACACCGGGTTGTCATCGCGAAATGCCCCCAGAGGTGGCCGGGCACCGGGTTGCCCAGGGTGACCGCGGCCCACGACTTCAAAATGTTTCTCACCTTATCACTATTCCCTTGTTCCCTGATCATTGCCTTGGAACAGTATCACTTTGCTCTCAGATGTTTCAAAATTTGATTCGAATGATTAATAAATTTCGGGCACATGAAACCCCTCCAAAAAATACCAACCGTGATCCGTTGTTGTGTGGAGTGAATGTTGAACCCTTGTTTCAATAACTTTCATGCTATGAAACCAACAACATGTGTGAACTAATAGTACTGTACATTGTGCACTTGATACCACTGCATGTACTGGCGTGGCCTGCATTACACACGTAGATCCAGATCCAGATCGAGTGAACTGTCCGGGTGTTCAGCCGTTTGTTTATCCTTCGCCTTTGGGCCCTGTTTCGTGATGACTATGTCGGGTCGCTTATGACGTTGGGTAGACATGCCTGATGACATTCCGCTAGCTACACGTACACGTACCTTATCATTATGTACAGCTACAGAAGACATTGGCCATTATTGCATAGTTGTCTTTGGTTGTCTGGCGCCCTCATGCTCACACACTCCACGGTCAGCAACACCTCCGACCTCCGCAGACCTGCCATCACGTACCACCTCAAAATGTAATCACAGCTGCACAAGCCAGAGTCGACGTTTAGGACTAGGAGTGACAAGGACTAGGACTAGGACTAGGACTAGGACTAGTACTTAGTGGTACTACTAGTAGTAGTAGTAGTAGGAGCTGGCCTGGCAGACTGTCTAGTGACATGGTGTTGACTGTCTGTCTGTTGTCGGCAGAAGCCCGAGTACTCCGTCGAGTTACGAGGTGACAGTGAGTACACGGTACGAGTAGAGTGGGACTGGTACTTTTTGTTTTGCTTTTGCAGTTTTGGCATTGGGGTTGGCTTATGATTACCATGGTAACGCAGGCACCACTGGTGACCCCCGGCCTGCTTGCGTTATCGTGATCAGCAGACGCTAGGCAGTCAGACCGCGGAGTAGGGCTACAAAAAAAACTAAGCAACAGACAACGCTCAGCTCAGAGACGGTTCTATGACCGAGCTAGATCAGATGTGAACAAGTGGCCAAGCAGCACCCGCAGTCCGCACTCACCCATACTGCCATAGCCATAGGCCATGTTATCGTTCGGGTCTCGCCCTTGTTTATCTACGCCACCGTACCGGTAGTGAAGAGACCTATCCCTGCAGATTTAGCACCTTCAAAAATCTTTGTGGCACTTCCCAAGGTAAACTAGGGTGAGGATACCCTCGCCTCTGCGGCTACTAAAAGAGCATTACGCTTTCAGCTGCTGTTGATCGAGGTATTTGATACGGTGAGAAGGGAGGCCGACTAGCTGAGCCGCGAACCTGTCGTTGAAGAAGAAGAGGACACGATGGCGGATCGTTCTGCGGTGAATGGAGATAGTCAGGTAAGTGAGTCGGGTGGAGCTACCTGTGACTGAGTGTGAGCTGGCCATGGCCGCGTGGATGTCGGTTTTACGTGGCGCTAGGTGTTTTTTCTTGCAGCATGTCTGTAGGGAAAGGCTCCAGTGGTCGTGATGTCTTCTTGTTGCCTCGCCAGTTGAATAGCCGTCACTTGTATGCCCTGTTATCGATATCTCCCACACTCCACAGTCCCACTTCCTGTGGCTGGTTAGGCAGGCAGGAGTGCGAGCTCTTGTGCTCAGCAATGACTGGCTGTGTACTGCGGTAGGAGCTGTGTGTTCGCCGTAAAGAACCAGTCAGTCTTCCATGGTCTTCTGCCAACTCACATCTTATTAGATAATCCAATAGTAGTAGAGTAAACATGCACCTTGTTTCATGCTGTCAAACCTACAACAACTCACACAGGGGCGTCGGAAGGTATTTTAGTGTGGTACGGTCAGCCATCTGAAGTGCAATTTACTCCTGAGTGGCGGCTGAGCCGAAAAATTTGGAATTTTAGATCCCAGATCAGTGTATTTTATTGATTCACGGGTGCCTTGGGCAAAAACGTGGTACGGTCAATAACGTAGTGACCGTACGGGTTCCGACGCCCCTGTCACATCTTGAATCAAACAGTTTGTCCGCATGCATACACGTCTCGCCTTGCATTTCAGGAGAACGGGGAAGTCATCAAAATCTCATCGGTGGCTCTGAATCATACACACATCGGTGTCATGGGTCTGTAGGAACGCCTCCCCCCCCCCTCCCCGCACCTTGATTTGACCTTGCCCATTGCGTAGCAATGATAGCGCATTGTTATTTCTCCAGTCCACGACAGAATGACTGATGGCGTTTCAGGTCGCCGCTTCGACGCACGCACACACACACACACACACACACACACACACACACACACACACACACACACACACACACATACACACACACACACACACACATACACACGCATGCACACACACACACACAGACACACACACACACACACTTCACCTGAGCACCCATTGCTCTGAATGCTAAAGTTAATGTGTGATACGATGCCTTTGGTTGGTGATGTGTGTTGCGCAGGAGGATAACACGAACCGAGTGCAGGACGCATCAACACAGAAACGCTTTGGACAGGGCATGCCGCCAGCAGTTTCCACAAGCTCACCCATGATCAACAGAGATCGGCGAACGAGCTTGCCGAATGGCGACATGGGTGGCGCACGCTGGAATGGAGCCAAGGCTGCCGGCAACAGCACATTTATGCAGCGCGGCCAGCAACCGGTCGCGAGCAGCTTCGACGCATCGCGCTACAGTCGACAAGTCGGCCAGGGCCCTGGTAGTGTTGGCGTGAAGGCCAAGCCACCCTTGCGTCGCAGTCAGAGCTCCATGCTGCACTCGATTGGCACTGCGGGCCGCTACATACAACCAACAGGCACTGGTGGTGGCGGCGGAGGCACTGGTCACCGGCAATCGTTTCAAGCCGACACGATTGGCGCGCTAACACAGACCTACCCGGTCAGGCAGCAGAACCGCCAAGAGTCCACCAACAGCCTTTTCTCACGCGGAGCTGGCGGCGTGTCACGCTTCATTCCCACAAGCGACACTGGCGGAGCAAATCTAGACGATGACGTCTTTGCCAGCAATGGATGGGTAAGGGATGCCATATCCGAATTTTGCACGAGGGAAATCGGGCAGCAACATACATGACATTGTGCAGTGGTAGCATATGAATTCCGACCCCAGCTCGGTACGCTTGCATTGCAAGGACCCAGCACTCGACTGTAACACTACGAACTAGAGGCTGCTATATTCGGTGCTGCACTCGAGCGCGAAAACCAGGGGTTGGATTTCAGTTGCTAGCGCTGTACAGCTTTCCTGGCCACAGTGCGGTAAGAACTTGCTTTTAGATTGCAATAGTTGTACGATCACACACGCTTATAGAAAACAGGAGCGTGAAAACTACACTGCATACCCGTACTGCACACCACGTCAATTGAATCTATCAATCTACTTGTATCTATTTATCTATCTATTTGTCTGTCTATCTGTCTGTCTGTCTGTCTGTCTGTCTGTCTGTCTGTCTGTCTGTCTATCTATCTATCTACATACCGTATTATCTCTAATATAAGCACAGTCTCCAATAATAGCACCTCTCCAATAATAGAACACCTTGGGGCGGCACTCAAAAAATAAAGTGCTCAGTCTCCATTAAAAGCACACTGTGTAAATTCATTATCTGTACCGGCGAAAAAACCCTGAAATGTGTGTGTCTGACATGAACTTGGCATGGCAACATTCCTCTGAAATGAGGTTGAAATAATAATGGAACAGTCTCCAATAAAGGAACGTCTCCATTAATAGCACGGGGCGGAGGTACATTGAAAAAATAAAGGACCGTGCTTATATTAGAGATAATACGATATCTATCTATTTATCTGTGTAACTGTGTCGATCTAAATCTCTCACTATCTCTGTTTCAATGTTTTGCTCGGTCTCACTCTTGCTAGAGCCCGGCACTGCCAACGCTGCAAATATATGCAAAGCAACTTCAACATCCACGCTCTGGCATACCGTCAAAGGTGGGTAGCACTCAAGTCTGTTTGATTCTCAGCTTTGGATGTACATGTACTTTTCCTGAGCTCAAATTCAAATCCAAAGTTCGTAACAAGGCACACGAGTACATCAGTTGCCTGGACAGATCTCCATCCTCCACTGACAATTTCGAGAAACAACATCAGAACTATGTAATTCCCAATACTGTACCAGGAGAATGTCCATGCATGCTGTTCACAACTTGCCCGGCGCATTAGGACTATACCTCCCATATCCCAGATCCTAGATCTGCAGGAAAAATATGGTTTGCACCTGCCCCCAAGTATGGTGTGTTTTGCTGTTGTTAATTATGCTAACAATCATGCTGACAATATTAAATGGGTACTCATGACGTGTGTATTTAGCACTATTTGCACATGTTTTCGCACATGTGGATTTTTTTGGATTTGTGTGCACATGTGGTTTTGTGTGCACATGTGGCTGGGTGTGCTGGTGTGCATCTGGATGTGTGTTTGTTTTGTCTAGGAACAAATGGTAAAAGGTGTCAAGGCCATGGTCTTCAATGGTAAGCAGACCACATCATAGTCTTTCAAAACGTAGCTTGTTTTGTTTTTAAAAAAGGGAAGAAATACACGACTCGGAATGAGTTATGCAGCAACTATCCACGACTGTAACAAGATGATAAACAGTCAGAAAGTGCACATTTATTACTGGCTCAGTATCCGAGTTTAAATCATGCTTTGTTTACTTGCCTTTGAATATGGTAGACTGCTAGCAAGTGTTCCCGTAGAGAAGAAACCGTTGAAACCATTCTGATGCATGGTGTTACATGCAATACTTTGAAGCGGAGTGTTGTTGGTTGTGTTCCATGGAAGCTGAGAGTCAGGGGTCCCTGGGGTGGAGTAACGCTATATCAAGCAGCATTCTCGATATCAGAAGAAACTTCTGAAAATGCATTGTGCCAAGTGCTGCAACATGTACGCGTACCATACTTCTGCACGAAAGCAGGTGCGAGCCGTACATCTATTAGCACACGTCCGCATACAAACACACGTGCTAAATATGAACAAAACAATCGCTGAACACCAGACAACAGCAACCTTTTGCAAACAAGCACATTTACGTATATGGGCAGTCGTAACTTTTAGTGTATGTACTGGGTTTTCCCAGTAGAGTAGTGCTAGTAAAGTGGAAGAATCAAATCATACGCTGGGTGTTTATTGTAGAGTCCAGTACCTCTTTTGTCTCAAGAGCATCCCACAGAGTTTGAGTCAATGAGATGCTGTTGTAGAGCTCTCAGCTTTTTGGCAATGCGGAAAGTTTGGTCGGAGTGCAATGTGGCGGTGGTGGATTTTCTGAACATTCCATTCCATGGAAGGTTTAGTTATGTCTGCTACGATCCTATACTAATGGTGATAAAAACATCCCGTGTGTGTGTGTGTGTTTTGTGTGTATATGCGTGTGTGTGTGTGCGTGCTTGTGTGTATGTGTGTTTATGTGCATGTGTGCGCATGTGTGCGCATGTGTGCGCATGTGTGCGCATGTGTGTGTGTGTGTGTGTGTGTGTGTGTGTGTGTGTGTGTGTGTGTGTGTGTGTGTGTGTGTGTGTGTGTGTGTGTGGTGTGTGCATGTGTGTGTGTGTGTGTGTGTGTGTGTGTGTGTGTGTGTGTGTGTGTGGTGTGTGTGGTGTGTGTGGTGTGTGTATGTGTGTGTGTGTGTGTATATGTGGTGTGTGTGCACGTTGACGTTCCATCGTGCACAGGGTCGGATGCAGCCGAGTGGTTCATGCTGAGTGCGGACGGTGTCCATCTTGCCGACCAGGCACAGGTCAGTCTGGGACTTGACACACCGGCACGTTCTCAATCACACAGTCCCCTGCCTATACCATCTTTGCATGGGTATACCGCTGGTAACATATGCTTGTCTGACTAGAAGAGGCTGGCATGCACCAATGGCTTAGTACTCCCAACACCAAACCGTGGATGGTGAATCTTGATAGCATGGAGAGAATTACTATGCAATTATTTGCTGGCATATGACACAATTTGAAAGTGTTCTAAAATGATGGTTTCTTGTGCCGCGTCTTATCCCGACAGGCTCTCGGCCAGAAACTGGTGGATCTCGGCTTGATAGCAGCTGTGAGCGATGGTACGTGATATCAGCTTTTAAAATAGTTTGCATCCGAACATTCCCTTGTCAGTTGCATTGATCTCGAAGGGAAAACTTCGGTTGACCTTTGAGAACTTGGAAACGTAATTTCACAATCACAGGAAATACTAGACAAGAGGAAATACTAGATTGGCCCTCGTGCTGTAGATCTAGGGGAAATATGTTTGAATTGGACATGAACAAGTCTATCAGTACTCAATTGGACCACTAGTTACTTCACATGGAGAGTGCTGAACCACAAAGTCACAACCATCTGCTGTCATCAATTTACGAGGAAACCTGCAGTTGTTCTGCTCGTCTTAATCAACCGAAAGTGACCGTTCTAATTTCTTTCTGACATAGAAGTGGGAGATTCCAAAATACTCCAACTTTTGCCTGCTACTTCGAAGTATAAAGGTAGACTCATCTCAAAACTCAGACAACTTGATACTTTGAAAAACAATCATCCTGATCTTTGTAGAACCATCACCTGTATGCACAGACCAGGTTTCTTCACACGATAGGTTGGTAGGGAGCGCATGTTCCCCTAAGTAAACAGTATTGTCACAAGTTTCGTGTATTGTTTGCTCTCGTCACCACGTCAGATTCACCGGACTTCCGTGTGTCATCAACGGCATGGTTCTACTTCTGCCATCCGTCCAATTTCACCAAGTGAGTAACAACCACAGGCATGTTCACAGTAACACAACAACACGTTTGTTATGTTGAATTTTAGTCCAAGCACAGAATACTAGTACTGTAAAAGCAGAAATTTTCGGTGGTGTAATATTTTCGGTATTCTCTAAAATCGGCGGGTCGGTGGAGGGAAATTTTTTCGGTAAATTCATTTTCCAGGTAAGTGTACATGTACTAGTACCAGTACTGCGGGAAATTTTGAGTGCGTTTTATTTTCGGTGAACATTGGCACCGAAGTTACCGAAAATAAAACACGAGCGAAAATTTCTGCTTCTACAGTATAGTAGAATTGCCCTTTTTTGGTCAGGTTAAGGGGATTGGTCAGGTTGGGATTGGTCAGGTTCAGGGGATTGGTCATTGCCGGTAACTAGAAATCACCCGTATCTCAGAACACACATACTTACTGCATGCAAGTACAGTGCACGCTTTTTATGTCAAACCAGTTCGATATAGTTTTCCATGGAAAAGCCAATTTTGTCAGAAAGGTGCCTGGTAAATGGGAGTGCCCAGATCAGGAATTCCTGATTTCTGTAGAACGGCTGATTTTAGCGGTTAACATTTTAGCGGTTTCTGGATCTAGACTAATTCGCGATGAAATATTTTAGCGATCCTAAGTTCAGAGTTTAACGAGAGAGCTCGGAAGCTCAGGGCCCTACGTCATGCCTTTTTGCCTAGCGAGAGTCAACTTTCTCTTTGCATTCGAGCGTAATACGACACCGTCTACCACCTTGCTGACCTAGGCAAAAAAAGCATAGGGATGTGATAAATTTGTCATTTCTCCTTTTTTTTTTAAAGACATATTAAACCTAGGATTCGAAACCGCACTATCGCCCTGCATGCATCCCCCGATACACTTCGCATACATCGTACATATTCATTCTTCTAAAACGGAGAGGTTATAGGCTGTCCAAGAGAGTGCTCAATACCGAGTGGTAGAGCTGGTTCAAACAATAGGAGGACAGAGAAAGTGTTTTTTTAAACAGAGTAAAAGCACTTTCTCTGTCCTCCTATTGTTTGTTATTCATTCTTCTAAGTTGCTTCATGTTATGATCTTGCACTTGAAAGCCCTATTTGAATACTGTACAGCAGGAAATTTTCGGACGGAAATATTTTCAGACAAAGCCGAATTTCGACCTTTCGGACGGATTTTATTTTCGTAAAGTGCTGCATGCTTATGCACGTGTTTGCATGCGGTACGCATGTATAGTGTACATAACTAATTACTTCACAGGAACAAAATTAAAAATAAATGACACGGTACGGGACAGGTATGGGATAGCGCCAGGCATGCCGACGGCACAAACACAGAATTAAAGCTGCGTGGAACCTGGCCAGCGCCAGACGTTACTGAAGTAACGTCTTTTGCATAGCTACGGGAATTAAAAGAGATTGACTGCTGTGCATATCGTACACTCGATTGGCCCAGCAAAACTTAAGCGAAAACACTACTTTCGCTAAAATCGCTTAATACCACTGGCGCTAAAATTAGCCGTTTTACAGTAGGGGACTTTATAATGTACCTTGCTCTGTGACCAAGGTCCAAACTTGTCCCGAACACAACTGAACCATCTGACCACCCTAATGTGACTCAAAAGACATGAAGCGCCAGCCATAGGAGTACATTATTCGCTCTTACTGACTGCCTTCGTATAACTATCTTGTGTTCTCATCGCAGTGATGGCGAAACAAAAGATGGCCAGCCACATCAAAATGGTGAGATAAAGCTATTATATATTCACTCATGTTTCTTTTATCCGGGGATAATCCAGGCATGGCCCAAAACTTTGAAATGTTTGTAACTCTGAATCAGATACATGTACATTTCAATGGGGGAGGCCCATTGATGTGGCGCATGCCGTCACCATATCCGCAAAATCGACAAAAGGGTAGTAATACTTCCTCAAGGATCAAATGCGCAAATGCAGCTCCTAAAGTGCTGGGAGGTGAGTAGACCAGAATCACCACCAACGTGGGTACAAATCGAAAATCCCATTCGCTGCATCCATGTTTCACTCGTGCCAGGCCACGAGTTGCCAAGTTCTCAATTTCCGCCACTGAAACTCACCCACGGGGTGCCCGGTTGACCGAGGTGCACCTAAATAATATTCAAGGTCAGGAAAGGAGAGATGTGATTGTAAAATTGTTTACACATCCACGTCACCACTGGCTTATGTGTTGAGGCACACAACCAGCTTAGAGAAGTCTCACTCGTGCCAGGCCACCACCATGCCTGATGAGTGTACCATCATATTAAAGCACTACCCTGCAAAGCCTACGCATATCTCTATCCGGTAATAGTACAGTACTCATGCACAGCACGCAGTACACGCATTCCAGGCACATGCTGATTTTGTGTGAAGGACATACCGGCATTGCATGTGAAAATCATGCGGAACGAATGTGTGTGCGTGTTCGCGGGTGTGTGTGTGTGTGTGTGTGCGTGTGTGTGTGTGCGAGTGTGTGTGTGAGTGTGTGTGTGTGTGTCCATGTGCACACATGTGTGTTTGTTCACATAAAAAGAAGAAGAAGGAAAAGAAGGAAACAAAGCGCTTCTGTTGTGACTCTGAGTTTCGGGGGTTTTAGTGACCATCAGACAGCACCTCTCGATCTCCTGCAACTCTTCCTGAGCGTGTGTGCATGTGTGTGTTTTCTTCGCTATCCAGGGGATACAGATGAGGATAAGAAGGGAGTTGAAGGATCTAAAGCCTGTATAATACTGTAACCGAGACCTAACACAGAGTGGCGGCAATCTACTCATCACTCACCATAACTATTCTTATAACCAGAGACCAATATTGGCACTGGGCGGGCTTCTTCACGGTCCCTGCAAAAAAGCCCAACGAACCGATATCATTGTTTGTTTTGTTTGCCAGGTGTACATAGTCTAGTCTAGTTGTAGTTTACTTCTGAAGTACGTTCATTGCTCACTTCTGGTATAGCCGACTGCACCGATGATTTCAACTGCACCGATAATGTTTAACTTCAGTCTTCACCGATTTTATCGGTCTTGAGAAGTACTACTGCCATTGAGAGTTCTGTGCGTGTACTTTTTGTTTCGCCTTCGAACCATTACGTAATGAATATCTTTGTGCGCAGATTGAGTAATGAATATCTTTGTATATCTTTTTTTAATATTTTCCAGTTTAGGTCACCGAATCTCTTGGATTATTTTAATGGTATTTGCTTTGCACATAAAGAACATTCGTTGTCGAAAAAATCCTGTAATGCTGTAAACAGATGTCAAGAGAATTGGGATTGGTATATTGGGTGGACAGAGCACAAACCCTATTATTGGGATTGGTGTGGCCATGCGAGTAGTGTGGGAGAAGAAGCAAGGACCGTGTCATAGCCAGGGACAAGGAAACTTAGGGTTGAGCATGTGCAGAATGGGCGGGAAAGAACCGGCCATCACGGCCAGTGAGAAGGCATAAAATGCCCAAAAGCAAAATAAATGCTTTAAAGGGTCTTAGCAGATTGACTACACACGTTGTAGGAGAGTTGGAACTGTCCTCTGTTTCAAGCAAATAATGAGCTTTTGAACATGTGCAAAAACAACTGTGTGGCAAAAAATGAATAAAAAGTCCACACTGCTCGAATTCGACAAAGGCAACATATCAAAATCATGCAAATAGCTCACAATTTAGCAACTTAGGCAGCTCTACGACTACTTCACTAGAGTGCCACCGTTCCATACGCGTCGGACTGGTCAAAATCAGAGTCGAACTCAACAACATCGGTGGGCGTCATAGCGTTTCCAATCACAAGAACGCTACCACTGTCTTCCTTTGCAAGTGGTTGGCGGACCTGCTCATCGCTCATAGACTCACCGTCGTCTTCGTCGCGCAAGCTTCTTCGGGAGGATTTCAAACCGAACATTTTCCTGACACAGACACCGAGGGCCGCCAGCACAAGTGATGCTGATCCCGTTGCAGCACCTATCAATACCTTGTCTGTGCTGGATAGTGTATCATCATCTGCGTCAGCAGAAGCACACAGACACAAGAAGTCAACCTGACGTTCCAAAGACAGCAGGGCTTGTGCTACAAACAGCACCATCCAATTTCTTTGTCATGGGCAAAAAGGAACACCTTTCCCGACTGCACAACACTAAGCAACCCCCCCCCCCCCATGCAAGCAAAAGCGGTCGTTAAAGCCAGGTGGTGTTTAGAACCAGGTCCCATACATTCGTGGCATCGTCAAAAGTAGGTGGTCGCTAAAGCCAGAGGTCGCTTACACCAGATTACATATATGAATAAGTGTGCGGTCGTCTGTGCAGGTGCATTACGTGTGTGTGTGTCTGTGTTTTTTTCATTTTTATTCTCTACAAAATCCACATAATTATCTCCAGACACTGGGGTGAATAATGGAGTGTGGTGGTGGGGCCCAAGCTCAGCCGGCCAGAGGTCTCGGCTTCACAGCTCGATGGACGCACCAAAGGGAGATCGCGTGTGTGAGCATGTGTGTCCGTCAAGTGTGCAGGTGTGCGCCAGTCAGAATAGTTTCCCCATAAAGGTACAGTCAACTTGGCGAATAACGACAGAATTTCCATGCCCAGAGCAAAGTCCCATCTAACTGTAATACAGTCATAATTATTATTATAGTGAGACTTCGTGAGTTAGGACACTTTTCTGATGCCCCGCTGAGTGTCGTATATGCAAAGTTGACTGTACTCCGAAATAGACATCACGCAAGGCGTCGTGCTCTCCCTCCCTCTCCTCTTTCTCCACTGCTTTCTGCGACCATGCAACAGTTATGATAGAGGCCCAGCGGGGCAACTGTGGGTCGAGTGTGCGAACGCCGGAGCACAATGCAACATTCTTACCCGTGCAGGGCTGTACAGGAGGGCCGGGCGCACTTCGGCGTGACCGCTTCTTCTGTCCTCCACCGCCGCCGCCTCCGAGGTCTGACTGCTGCTGCTGCTGTACTGGCAGCACTGCGCGGCTGCATGGACTCTGGTAGCTGCAATCTCCGGGCGGCCCGTAACCGGGAGAGCACTTGATGGCCACGGAGAGATTCATCTTGACTTTTCCCGTGCCGGGTAGGTACGCATCCCTTTCGTCATACTTGTCTTTACCATCCCATAGTCCCAGCATGTAGTCAAACAGCTTCGTGACCAGGATCTTGCCCTCCGGCGTCTGAGCAATCTGCTTCAAATCGCGCCGCAGGTCCAGGATGAAGGTGTTCGAGTCGCTCGCGGTGACGGATTGAACCGTTGTCTTTACACCGACGTTCTGCTTTTTCTGAGCAGCTGACAGCCCATCAGCATTGGGTAGAGGGATGGTGAGGAAGTTGTGGAAAATGACACGACGGTTGTACGGAGGCCGTACATCGATTTCAGCTAGCACCATGTATAGCTTTGGCGTAGCCTGGGAAAGACAAGATGGAAACTCCTCAGAACCTGTACTCCTTAGGCATGCGACAATGTGGGAACTCGTGATATGCAAAGAGGGTAGAGGTAGTACGTGTGTCACAAACGTATATTATCCCCTTGGAGAAATGCACCCGCGTGCATATTCACACAGATACACACACACAGAGATGGACACACAGATACACATACACGCGAACACCACACACACACACACACACACACAAATACCCCCCCCCCCCCCACACACACACAAACACACACACACACAAATACCCCCCCCCCCCCCCCCCACACACACACACAAACACACACACACACACACAGACACTCAAACCCCCCCCCCCCCCCCCTACACACACACACAAATACCCCCCCCCCCCCCCCCACACACACACGGTTGAAAGCTACTTACCGCACGGACCATGAGCGCGGCGGGAATGGGGAACTTGAGTAGGTAGGGGTAGCAGAGTGATGGATTGGAGCAATCATACACTTTCCAAGGTTTGGTCTGCGCTAACGGCGGTGCCGGTGGACCCTTTCTGGGGTTCTTCCTATCCGCATGCTGCTCGAGTGTGCCCAGCTTCATAGTAAAATTACGTTCTATGATGCCCAGCGTTGACAAGCTGCTATGTAGTGCGGAGCTGCACAGCAGGGAGTCTCCAATTCCCACGTGACTTCCCGAGCCGAGACAGAACCGCTGCAGTATTCTGCACCCGGATATTGTTGAGTCGTACGACACGGAGCCGGTTGAGCTGCATCGAAAGGCTGACGGGTCCAGGCGCAGGTCGGCGATGGACACGGAGAGAGTGCCAACTGTATTCTCAGCACCGCACTCTTGGCTGAACTGCTACAATTGACAGTGACACAATCACACCACATTCAGGAAAGGTTATTCACTGCCGTGTTTTCCAGCCAAAAATGCTTTAGGCCTATTCTCAGGTCTCCATCACTGAATTTCAATATGTTTGCTTCAATAGACAGTTAGACTAGGGGTGAAACGACTGACCTAAATTCCTTGTCGGCTAGAACTGAATTTTAATTCGTTTACTTCCTCCGTATACAAAAACTTCGTGACTTTTTTTGAACGGTGTTTTTGAGCAAGAACCTGCTCAACGAACGGTGCCAAAGGCTGTCATCGGCAACCCTCGTCCATGTCGAGGTTCGTTTGGTTGATCCCTAACAGATTCTTCACGGACGCCATGCGTGTGAGGACGTTGCCGACAGAATGCAACAAAAACTAAAGCCTGGTTCACACTAGGCCGATTTTCCGGCCGATACTCCGACACCGACTCCGACACGGAGTCTGCCGACTGTGTCGGATGAGTCGGACTAGCTGTTCACACACAAAGGTGGGCAATTTCGTTTGTACTTTAGTTGTACATGTAGGCTTGTCTGTTACACACGGACACGCGGTACACAGCCGCACTGCCACTAGACCGTAGTACTAGTAGACGCTAGCTAGCTAGCTAGACAGCGGAAATGAGATAGTTTTTACACGAGCCACAAAGCCAAAGCGGCAAAGGTGTGAAAGGGCTAGCGTCTAGTACAGTGCTACTAGTACTGTAGTAGCGATCCAGTGCAGCCAGTTCACATGGTTCACGGTCTGCACCAACGCTCTCCGCTGTCATGGTGAAAAGCCTACAGTGATTGGTCCGGTGCATGCTCCATCACGCGCAAGCGCTAAAATTCGGCCGGCTTTTCGGCTAAATATCGACCAGTCGATACTTGGCCGAAAACTAGTGCGACAAGAAAATCGTCGCAGATTTGTCGGAACCCTGTACGACAACACCGTTCACACTACGCAATTTTCGCCCCGATCTTGAGGATTTTTCGTACGAGTCCATGTCGGCCGGAAAATCGGCCTAGTGTGAACCAGGCTTAAGGGGGGACGGGAGGTTCGCTGGCCATATTGCGGTGCCCGTTATAAATTCGCTTGAATCTCAGCACTCAAACATCAGAATTCCTTCAAATTTTCAGTATATGTTCCTTGACATCCACTGACGACATTGCAACCAAGAACTGTGGAAAGTATACTGGTATCATGGAGAAATGCAGGAAAGCAATTTTGGAAAAAATGCGATAGCCGGGCATGATTTCTGCGCAGTTTTTCTCAAACATGGTCACTTGAAGATAAACACATAACACTGCAAAATGATCAGGTACCAAGGGGCTAGGGCTGTTGCCTAAGCACAATGCGATTACAGTTCCCATGGTGTGCCACTGCAGCCTTGAAATAACAATGCACGTGCGCAAGATAACTTGACTGAAGTTCAAGGTCCATTATTTTGTTTCTAACAGAAGATCTTGTGTCCTAAGAAGGCAACGGATCTAGAATGGACCGTACAGAACCAGAAAATATATACTTTTACATACAAGATATGTACAGCATTTCTAAAAAACTGCGCGGAGTGCCCATAATACCCCTAAAATCAGTGAAAAATGCACCTAAAAATTACATAAAAAGGACTGATAGTGGAGTGCTACTGAAATATTTTCACATATCTGACCTGAAGTTGCCATTCAGAAACCACCTTTGTCATATGTAGTGCCCTCTTTCTCAATAGTGGTCTCCTACCAGCCTTTCCTCTGCCTCCTTCTCCTTTTCCTGCTCTCCTTTTCCACTGCTGATGACTTGCGGAGGGACTTCTTCACACGCCATTGGTCTTCTAGCTCAAGCGCTGCCTTCGTGTGATTGCCATCAATGCATCCACACTCTTTCAGCACACTGAGCAAGGTGATAGCGCCGTTGTTGAAGTTGAGCACTGCCAAACTACTTGCCAGCTGAACGGTGTCGACGGAGCAGAAGCCTTCCTTCGGACACATTCTCCAAATGACGTTGTTGAACGCCTCGTTCGCATTCTGCGTTGCACCCATCTGGCAGCGCTCCAGCAGACTTCGTTCGGACAGCTGCATGTAGATGGGCTTCACGACTTCGAACACAGCCTTTGGGAGAGGGTTCTTATGAGGCCTCCGCGTGTGCCCACAGACCGCTGCCAAATATCGCACGCAGCTTCACTCTCCATACCGGGTGCAGATGCCGCTGTGTTTATGCTGCACTTCTGATTATCCAGCCAGGTTGAAAAGGCTTCCTCCGTGATTGCACCACTTCGCTTCTTCTCAGTCCAGATCTTACATTCGTGACAGTATCGACCCTTCACTGTGATGTCCAGTACACGGCCGCTCTGGAAGGAGATGCACGCGAACACACCATACAGCGACGAATATCCCCTGCGCATCCAAGTGCCGTCGAACGTCACTGCGACGTAGGTGGAATCTGTCATGGCACGCAACTCAGCTGCGGATTGAACCATGTCAGTTTCAGCTAGCTTTACGGCTGCAGCAAGGACAACTTCCTGGTGGCTGCGGTACGCTTTCTCCGTTACAGGAGCAGGAAAATTCATTACGCCGCAAAACTTTCGGAGTCCACCATGGCCACGTCCAATGCATCGCATCGCCAGTACAGATCGTCAATTCAGATCATAGCTCCTGCAAATTTTCTTGCTCAGAGACGTACTTCCACTGTGTCCACACAAAGCGCATTGAAGTCGCAGGGTCGATCCAAGTCCAGTGTCATGACAGTTACTGACGATCATGTCTCCCTTCGTGCACTTCCTACAGACAGTAAATTGATCCATCAGTTCCTGGAGACACTGTAAATCCACGATCTTGTAGCCAGAGACAGACTCCTCAACATCAGGATAGAATGCATCATCATCATACTCCTGGCAGCTATCACTGGACGACTCGTCTGAATCACTGTCACTCGAGCACACAAGCTCAGATTCAAATTCCATGACCATATCACTAAGCCATTTTGGCCTCGACGAAATCTTCCGAGAGGAAGCGCTCTGCGCCGCTTCAACGGTGCCTTCTTCCACAACTGGTACAGAGCTTGACTGCTTTGGGGCGTAGTATCTCCTTTTCTTCCTCCTATGGCCACTTCCAGAGCTGCTGGTGCTTCTCTTTCGGTTCCCCATGTAAAATTGTTCACTTTCACGATCACAAACAAAAAAACAAAGATTTTTTCCTTCGCGTACGCGCGTGGGCGTCGTGGCGCTGCAGAACGTCATACGCGATCAAGGAAGCACGTGGCAGCTCTCCATGACTACAAAAACAGAAGCCAGGGTCGCTTACCTGGCGAAGTTGAATCAAAAACGCTTGATTTTGGACTAAACCAAAATCACAAAATTAGGCAATTGTAAACATTTGAGTATTTACATTTGAAATAATAATTATTTATCTCGACATACTTTAGCTCATAACTCCACTTCTACTAAACCGATTACGCTCAAATTTGAAATTCTGGCGCTTCAAATATCCTAAGACAAGATTCCATAGCAAAAAGTTCAAAACTCAGAAATTCATTTTTTGACCCTCTGAACCTCCCGTCCCCCCTTAAGCCTGGTTCACACTAGGCCGATTTTCCGGCCGATACTCCGACACCGACTCCTACACGGAGTCTGCCGACTGTGTCGGATGAGTCGGACTAGCTGTTCACACACAAAGGTGGGCAATTTCGTTTGTACTTTAGTTGTACATGTAGGCTTGTCTGTTACACACGGACACGCGGTACACAGCCGCACTGCCACTAGACCGTACCGTAGTACTAGTAGACGCTAGCTAGCTAGCTAGACAGCGGAAATGAGATAGTTTTTACACGAGCCAAAGCGGCAAAGGTGTGAAAGGGCTAGCGTCTAGTACAGTGCTACTAGTACTGTAGTAGCGATCCAGTGCAGCCAGTTCACATGGTTCACGGTCTGCACCAACGCTCTCCGCTGTCATGGTGAAAAGCCTACAGTGATTGGTCCGGTGCATGCTCCATCACGCGCAAGCGCTAAAATTCGGCCGGCTTTTCGGCTAAATATCGACCAGTCGATACTTGGCCGAAAACTAGTGCGACAAGAAAATCGTCGCAGATTTGTCGGAACCCTGTACGACAACACCGTTCACACTACGCAATTTTCGCCCCGATCTTGAGGATTTTTCGTACGAGTCCATGTCGGCCGGAAAATCGGCCTAGTGTGAACCAGGCTTAAAAGCCTGGTTCACACTAGGCCGATTTTCCGGCCGACATGGACTCGTACGAAAAATCCTCAAGATCGGGGCGAAAATTGCGTAGTGTGAACGGTGTTGTCGTACAGGGTTCCGACAAATCTGCGACGATTTTCTTGTCGCACTAGTTTTCGGCCAAGTATCGACTGGTCGATATTTAGCCGAAAAGCCGGCCGAATTTTAGCGCTTGCGCGTGATGGAGCATGCACCGGACCAATCACTGTAGGCTTTTCACCATGACAGCGGAGAGCGTTGGTGCAGACCGTGAACCATGTGAACTGGCTGCACTGGATCGCTACTACAGTACTAGTAGCACTGTACTAGACGCTAGCCCTTTCACACCTTTGCCGCTTTGGCTTTGTGGCTCGTGTAAAAACTATCTCATTTCCGCTGTCTAGCTAGCTAGCTAGCGTCTACTACTAGTACTACGGTCTAGTGGCAGTGCGGCTGTGTACCGCGTGTCCGTGTGTAACAGACAAGCCTACATGTACAACTAAAGTACAAACGAAATTGCCCACCTTTGTGTGTGAACAGCTAGTCCGACTCATCCGACACAGTCGGCAGACTCCGTGTCGGAGTCGGTGTCGGAGTATCGGCCGGAAAATCGGCCTAGTGTGAACCAGGCTTAACACTTACTTGCTCGAAACTGACACAGTGACGAAGTGTAGCTCGTGGCTGGAACACGGAGTCGAGTCACGCGGCACTCGCTGCCCTGAAAGTGGCCAGGCTCGTACTTGCGGTGCGCGGCCCCATAGATCTACGCAGCGTGAGAACATAGATTTGTTTCGCTCGCACGGCAAGATGAAACATTTCAGTCGTCGTGCAACCAGCGCAGACTCAGGATCAGAATGTCGATGGCCTGGCTTTCTTCGCCTCTCTCCAGTCAGACGTCTCTTTTGTCCCCAAAGGGAATCACAGGGACCTCCTCGAAGCCATTGTAGAATGCTTGGGGGGGTTTATCCTGGCGAGAAAATGCGAAGCGTGTGGATGTGCTTGTACGACTCGTTTCACGGCATAATGGAGGTCGCGGGTTGGAACGACTGAATTTAGTCTACACCGATTCGTACACAGCTCTAGAGATGAAGAGGACGTAGCCAAAGTCCAGCATCGGATCATCACTAAAGGTGACAAGAATCTGAACGAAATGCGAGCGGAAGCAGCGACTGTTGGCGATGCAGAGTCAGCGTCGTCAGGTGACAATGACATGAGCGACAAAGACTCTGAAAAACTCAATCTCATTCGTCTGAGTTGCTTTTTTCTTTGTTTATGGCTTGTAAACAGGTTAGACAATGCCACGAGTGTTATTCCGAGTCAAACGGAACAACCCCAGAGCTGTGCGCAGCTTTCAAAAAAAGTCACGAAGTTTTTGTATACGGAGGAAGTACTTCAGTGGACAGCAAGAAAGCCTTCATCGTTCAGGGTGGTGGCATTCCTACGGATGCGGAAACTTGATCTCTGTCCGAGCCTCACGCGAACCGTGAAATTGTCTATACACATTTACACGCGGTTGCATGTCTCAACACACACACATACACACACTCTCTCTCTCTCTGTCTGTCTGTCTGTCTGTCTGTCTGTCTGTCTGTCTGTCTGTCTGTCTGTCTGTCTGTCTGTCTGTCTGTCTGTCTGTCTGTCTGTCTGTCTCTCTCTCTCTCTCTCTCTCTCTCTCTCTCTCTCTCTCTCTCTCTCTCTCTCTCTCTCTCTCTCTCTCTCTCTCTCTCTCTCTCTCTCTCTCTCTCTCTCTCTCTCTCTCTCTCTCTCTCTCTCTCTCTCTCTCTCTCTCTCTCTCTCTCTCTCTCTCTATCTCTGACTTTCTGTCTGTCTGTCTGTCTGTCCGTCCGTCTGTCTCTCTCTCTCTCTCTCTCTCTCTCTCTCTCTCTCTCTCTCTCGCATTGCTGTCTACTGTACACAGTTGTCCATGTAGTAAAGCTGCAGTGCATCATACCTCCAAGGATCAGACAAATATATCTTCACTGGACAGCTGCAGGGACGGATCCAGGAGGGGTTCCGCGGAACCCCCTAAATTTCGTAAATGTACTCCTGGCAACCATATGCGTGTTCATGTACATGTATCAGCTATTCAGTTTTGACTATACTGGAACCCCCATGTAGAGATCGTTGGATCTGCCGCTGAGCTGAGGTACTGTATATCCAAGGTCAAAATGCCAAGACAATAACAATACAAGGATGACAGCATCAAGAGCAATAGCATCAACAGCAATAGCATCAACAGCAATAGCATCAACAGCAATAGCATCAACAGCAATAGCATCAACAGCAATAGCATCAAGAGCAATAGCATCAACAACAATAGCATCAAAAACAATAGCATCAACAGCAATAGCATCAACAGCAATAGCATCAACAACAATAGCATCAACAACAATAGCATCAACAACAATAGCATCAACAGCAATAGCATCAACAGCAATAGCATCAACAGCAATAGCATCAACAGCAATAGCATCAACAGCAATAGCATCAACAGCAATAGCATCAACAGCAATAGCATCAACAGCAATAGCATCAACAGCAACAGCAGCAACAGCAACAGCAATAGCATCAACAGCAATAACTATGATTGCTGCTTCTAGTTTCAACGGTTGCTGTGAAATTTGGGACAGTTGAGACCTTTTTTTCATAAGAGCATGAAATTTCCGTAGTTTCCAGAGTATAAGCCGCACTAACATTTAAGCCGCACCCCCCCCCCCCCCCCATTTGTTCCACGAAGTGCAGAAATTACCTGATTTATCACCATTAATTTGATCCTCGGAGTATAAGCCGCATCCCCCTTTTTTGGGGTGAATTTTGAGTGTTCAAAGTGCGGCTTACACTTCGGATAATACGGTCCAGTTCATCCGTTTCCCTGGGCCCGGAGAACTTCATTACCCAGATATAAGAGAGATGGCATGCCTGTATTCAGCCGTGTGCTCGGGTCTCTCTCTCTCTCTCTCTCTCTCTCTCTCTCTCTCTTATTCTCTTTTCTCAACTTGACTGCTACTACGAGCTATGAGCTATGAGCCAGTCAACCTGGAGAATAATCGGACCCTTGATCGGGCAACTGAAAAAAATGTTGCAATCCACGAGTTGTCCTTGCTCGCGAGGTTAAAAGTATGCGTTCAAGGGGTTACCATGGTTACTTGGACTGAAGAGTATAGTGTCATTATTCGCGAGTTGTTGTTCTGTTCCAGGTTACTATTCGCGAGGCCAACTATACCGACCCTAGGTCGAAGAAGGGGGTGCTATTGAGTAAAGCTCTAACAAGCTTGTTACACCGCCGTTGGTGGTGGTCCGTCTGAAGGGGGTCCGGTGTCTCCTGTGAAACATTTGAAATTATGGTGCAAAATCCTGCATTCTGGGCACTTTTGGCATTGTGGTTAAAGAAAGTGGTGCGGCTGCTACGCCCCTGTGTAATTATTTTGCTTATTACCCACTAGTGAACATACCGAAACCGTGCAATAAACACCGGATAATGAGTGTGCCACTTATTTCAGTGATTCGTTTAATCCGGGAACCACGACACTAACGTAATGCTCGGCTCTGGGTACTACGGAACTAAGGATACGTGTACGTCATGAGGACTCAACATGTACTGCCTACTGAGTACTGGGCTGGGGAATGCAGTCTTTGCCCAAGTAACAGTTCAACCAGATCATGTACCAGGATACACATGCAAGGTTACGAGTAGTTACAATGTATGGCTGGCCATGTCAGGCTAGTGTGTTTCTGTGGTATAACGGACTGAAGAATAGTAAACGTGTTTTGCAATACATGTATATGTATGAAGCTATTTTGTATATACCGTATTATCTCTAATATAAGCACGGTCCTTTATTTTTTCAATGTACCTCCGTCCCGTGCTATTAATGGAGACGTTCCTTTATTGGAGACTGTTCCATTATTATTTCAACCTCATTTCAGAGGCATGTTGCCATGCCAAATTCATGTCAGACACACACATTTCAGGGTTTTTCCGCCGGTACAGATAATGAATTTACACAGTGTGCTTATAATGGAGACTGAGCACTTTATTTTTTGAATGCCGCCCCAAAGTGTTCTACTATTGGAGACGTGCTGTTATTGGAGACTGTGCTTATATTAGAGATAATACGGTAGTATGTTCCCATTCTGTTTTTGCTTTGGTGTAGCCCTGAGGTTGATTTGCTTATTTATTTCTACCCTTCCTCTCTCCGTACTTCTGTCCCCCCCCCCTCTCATTCCCAGTGCTGCCAAACCGTCCAATTTTTCGGACAGTGTCCGATTTTTGAAGGCTCTTCCGAAAACCGGTCCGAAAAGGGAAACGTCCGAAAAGCAGCCAAAATGTCAGAGATCATTACTTTTCTATGCAGAAGTCCTGTACTTTCACTTTTCAGCGAAGGCACAAATCACTGTACATTTGCTTCTAAAAAGGCTAGCGCTTGGCTGTGGAAGTGCAAAGTAACATGCCTGGATCAGGCTGGATGGCATGTGCGCTGACAGTTCGTACAGAGTCAGTGTGCGACCACACTCATCATTACAAAATTCATGACAACTCCGGGGTTACCATGGCAACGAAGCGAATTTTCATGGTGTTTTAGGCGATATTTTGAATTCTCTGTAAAAAATTTGCTGAGGAGAAAAATTCGCACCATGTGGCCAGCCTTGGCGGTGAAGGGTGTCCGATTTTGGGCGAAAATTATTAATTTTGGCAGCACTGCATTCCTTCTGTCGTCCATATGTATCAAAGGAGGCGAAATCGCCTTTTTGTGGTGCGACGTTAAATAAACTTCTACAACAACAACAACAACAACAACAACAACAGGCTATGGAAAACACAGCTTCTACAGCCGCAACTATGAAAACGGGATATTTACTGACCTGAAGAAGTACCACCAGCCACACACCGTGGAGGACCGTTGCACACATCGCTCTGGCATGGTTTTCCTGGAGCATTCTCTCGACGAGTCCCGACCTAGACTCTACGGACACAAACACTACACTGACTTCTGCACCCGATTATAATGTTTCAACTTCGCTAATGTAATTTCAACGACGTGTCTCCTTGCTGAAGTTTCGCCGTCACGCTAGCCAACCGAACCTTCCCAGCTGATACACACTACATTTTGCATGCTGCACCTGTATCTTTGGACGTGGCATGAGCTCCGTCCGACAGCAAGGCAAGACTGTCGACATGAAAAACACTGCTGGATACCGGCTGCCTCACGGCGGAAGTTTGCACGCACGCATGGCGGAATTCCCCAAATTCTTGTCTTGGTCTCCGAACACAATTCATTTTTTCCTTCTTCTGAGCAACACCGACCGTCACACTCACAATCTGAACTGTGTGGCGAAAGCCTCTCGCACGGGCAATCACAACGCACAAGTCTTGCACTTGCGCAAGACCTGACCATTACTACAAATGCAACACTGTAGTAGCATTGTCGAAAAAGCTAAAGCGAAAATTCCCCGAGTTCCGCACGGCTGACGCAATCTTTCAGAATGATATCCATGAAACACAAAGAGAGAGGGCCAGGCCAGGGTAAGCTTGACACCTGGCAAAGGTGTTATGCTATGTTTTTTTACGAAGGCTCTTGATCTCACCTATCAACCAACCTCTGGTGTCGGTACGTCGTGGTAATTGTCACAACTGCCCAGGCTGGCGGCTCCACCCAACCTCTCGTGTGGGGGGCCTGGGGGCTCCCCGATTACTTGCAACATGTCTGCGAACCGAGTGGTTGTGGGTTCGACCCCCACCCCGCGGTCGCACTGCCACATTATCATAATGACTGGCATCATTGACTGCAAATCCCAAAGACGCAAGTTTATCCAACTTTCACTACTGCTCCTGATCAAGCTGAACGGACTCCGATGACCATGCACCAGACTGAGAGACGAAAATAATGTAATGATCCAGCAGCAAATGATGTAATGATCCAGCAGCAAATGATGTAATGATCCAGCAGCAAATGATGTAATGATCCAGCAGCAAATGACATGCATGCCACACTCACAGTGTACAGTTGCAAGCACTTTGACAAGGTTCACTCTCCTTGCTGCCAACGACTGGCTTCCTGAGCACAAGATGACTCACAGCTTATGCTGCCCCATCATGATTACCACATTCTCTTTGTCAACTGCGTACATATCCCCCCGGCACACTATCGTACTGTGTGAATATTTTTGCACGCAAAACATCATAAATTCGTATACGGTGAAACACACACAGAGTATGGCACCGTAGACTAGAGTTTCATTCAAAACTATCACATCAAATTGTACAATCGTGCATATTGTACTAAAGGTATTGCCGCATCAAAATTCAGTTTAGCTCCGAGATGATACAGACTTGTGGTGTGCAGTATTCATGAGAAGTCTACAAGTAGTCGATTTGGTGATAGTACTCTATTATGTTTTCCAAACTCATCCCAGTAAGTAAAGTAAATTATCGTATCCGTTCCCGAAGGGAACTCACGACGGCCGCTAACACCCGATAAACCCTAGCGGCAGATGCAGCGCCTAACGGTGGGGGTGAGTGGGTAAGCCTCACAACCACTGGCACAAGTGCCGAAAACGACCCCATTAGCTGCATCCATGTACCCCTTGTGCCTGGCCACAAGTTCCCAGTTGACTGTGGGTAGCAGCACGGCTGGAAAAACCGCTCCCAGGCAGGACTTGAACCAGGTACCTCTCGTATCTCAATCATGGTCTTTGACCAACCCACTGTGCCATCCGAGTAAACAACAGAGAAATGAGGCTAGCCAAACCTGCTACTGTACTTGTCAGGCCAGCAGGGTGTACAAGCTGCAGCTTTAAAATCTCATAAAATTGACTTGAAATTGGCCATGCTGCCCAGGTCTGAATGTTCGCTTCAGGACTATTCTAAAATTATTATTATTGATAGCCGAGAATGTGAAATTCGAATTCAAGAGGGGAAGGGGATTGATACTTTTACACCCAATGCGGGCATGACTATGGCAAACTCAATACTAAGATAACATTTACAAATCGGCTTCATATCTCCGTGGTGCACTGAGGCACGCGAAGGATGAAACAAGACTGTCTACAAATTGAGCAAATTGTCTAGTAGATAAATATAGGGTAAGCAGCAGCATTCGGCCCTGCACAGACCGTGTATGTGTACTTGAGAGCGCAGTTATGGTGCGGTGGTCGATGAAACAATCTGCCCGGTAGGCAGGAAAGAAAATTTGTAAATGACATTATCACTCGAGCCGCACCTTATTTGTTGGTTTTGTCAGTTGTCCTTTCCTTGTGGATACTTGCAGGGAAATCCATGGCAGTGGAAAGATTTCTGCCCAACCTCTGAAGCTGGTAGCGTAGCTGAGGCTAGGAGGAAATCAATGTCAAGACAACTAGAGGCTATCCAGTCATCAGTGGCTTTTTTAAGGCCGAGGCACTTTCAGCTGCTAGGTGAACAAGCCATGCTGTAGCTGCTTCTTTACAGGGTTCTGGGGTACACTCCTGTACACAAGACGATGCAAGCAAGAAAACCAGCATCCAATTATTTCACAAAGTGAAAGGATTGTAAGGGAACTCATGTCTGAAGAAGCAAGTTGACGGTAACGTCCGGGAACCAAAAGGGACATGTGTTGCCTTGAGCACATCAGGCACGTCCAGCGAAGGACTCACTACAAAGACAAGGCATAGTTCTAAATGCAACAGAGTCTGCTCGATATTGCTCTGACGAAACAATTTTATCCAGTCTAGCGAGTAGAGAACACACTGCACCTTCACCTACAATCACCTAGCTATTTCTTATTCACTGGTTTGAGGGAAAGACGCAAAGAGGAAAAGTCTGAAGAAAAAACGGACTGTCACCAGGACTCGAACCAGGGATTCTCGCTTGTAGCCAGCGATGCTCTAACCATTGAGCTATGGTGCAGCCGTCATCCCAGCAGAGACCGGTCAATGAACTATTTCAGCCAGTACGTACCAAGCACATAACTGCACACATCAGAATCAACTCTACAGGAACAACAGCAGAGAGATGCCTCCCCTGAACTTACGAACTTCACACGCATCACCAATATACCGTTTGCGACAGCGACACAGATTCGGACGAATGCACTCTCCGCGATTGTTACAGTTTTGTGGACAGATTGCTGCACAAGGCAAACATTCATGCACAAAAACAAGCCAATCAGTTATAACCCAGTGAGAAACGGAAGAAAAGATGAAGCGGGAGGCAAACAGCCTGTGAGATAATAGACAGACATGCAAGAACAAGGATAGACAGAAAGAGAAAAAGAGAGAATAACAGAAAGCCAGACAGACAAATAAGGGACAGACAGACAAGCAGATGGACGGAGAGAGAAAGACGTACGGAAATTCTTTGTTAGAACTGATGAGAAGGTGAGAATGAGAGCTCTGTGCCAGAACTTTGCAGTCTAGAGAGAGTGTGTGGGCAGGCGTGTGTTTACCGCCATATTGCCAGGTGTGTCTTTACCACCATATTTATCAACCATAAGTACAGCTCCAGTGGTGTCTTCAACTTCATTCTCCCGAGAACTGAACCAATCTATCCTAAGTATGTTATACCACTGTCCGGTCTCAATTTTTCGAACCCACAACGAACCAGAGTTAAGAGTGTCTGCATTCATCCACTCACCGTTTGTACAAAATCGTCCTCTCCAACCCGGTCTGCACTTGCAGTAGTCTTTGCCCACACAGCGACCTCCATTAGCACAAGGGGAACTGCAGCTGGCTGCATGCAGTAAAGTAAACCAAAAACAAAATCAAACTAGCACCACAAATCGGCCTTCATTGATTACTGAAAGATGTTCCATGGAAGTCTGTTTAAAAGTGCGAAAATTGGGCGAGATATTGTTTGCTATCTTCATGACATACAGTACATCATTGGCATATGAATGATATGATTATGATGTACATATACATTGCAGCTGCATATCTAAATCATTGTGACATGTCAGTTGGCCTGGCATTTACCTGACAATGCACTCAGGATAAAGGGTTTTGGGGGCCTCCATGGTGGAGAAGCGGGATGCGTAATTTATACAAAAATAGTGAGGAAGAGAGAGAGAGAAGACCGTAAAGCAAATATAAGTCAAGGAGAACAGTGATATACATGTACGTTCCAAAAAATAGAGAGACTCACAGTTTTCACATCTTGTTCCCGTAAAGCCTTTCCTGCAGACACATGTGTTCGACGTGCTGTTACAGCCACCTTTGTTGAAGCAAGCCAAGCCGCTTGTACAAACTTGAGGGAGAACTGCACCAGAGACAACAAATGGCAAACCATCATCAAGTCTGAATAGTATTACATCACTGTCTTACCCAATAAGTCCACCAGTAGTTTATCTGCAGATCTGTTCTTCACAGCAATATTTCGTTTCGGCAGCAGCACTTTGGACATTATATGATCAGCTTTGTGGTGTGTCTCCTGGAGGTCAGCTGTCCAATCAAGTCCACCGCATCAAGATAAGGCAGTATATACCTCGAGATTATGTAACGGAGAACGAGATTTGCTCCTGGGGTTCTTTACCTACGCTCGTATTCACGTTATGCAGAAATAGGCTATGTACACAGAAAATGAATGGAATAGGTGCTCTTCTGTTTGATGGTTTCTAAATTTATTTTTAGTTTAGCAACACGGTGTATATTTACAATAAAGTGTTCTATTTTTCAAATGTTTCCCTGTTCTAGTCAAGACATGGTGCATGGATCACAATAAACCAAGAAATGTGAATGATATTCTAAAGAGGCAGGTTGACAGAGTAGAGATCCCCTATAGCCACTGGTAGGAACTTATGTACCTGGACAGTCTTCGTGCTCAGGAATGCTGTTTCCGTGGCAGAGGCAGGAATAGCTCCCTTGGCGATTACGACACACTGTGTTGCGGCCACAGTTATGTGATTCCTCGGAACACTCATCCACATCTGTGACAAGTGAAAAGTAAAAAGTTAACACTCAGAACAAAATGCCACCAAGTGGCAACATCTCAGTTCATGAAGTCAAACAGGATGTTCATATTTTTCTTCGGACCGTTTTCCCTTTTCAGTCCCTCAGATTTTCATGTATGAGTGTTAACAACATTGCAACATTAATTTCAAGCCCGCCCATGCACTCTGCTATAATGAAATAGTCATTTACGATTCGTTCAATTTTGTTCTCCTGGCTTTACTCATTCAGCCGCAAAATGCAAAAAAATGATGAACCAACTGAGCCAGTACATCTAACAGCCACAAATTATCAGCACAATAATACTGTGTAGCAGGAAATTTTCGGACGAAATTTTTTTCGGACAAAGCCAAATTTCGACCATTCGTACGGATTTTATTTTCGTGCAGTGCTGCATGCTAAATGCATGTGTTCGCATCACATTTTGAAGTACATCATGTACAGTGTACAGAAGTCCACATGAACAAAATCTTAGTACGGAATTAGTTCTAGTACAAAAGAGGCCGTGTAGGAAGTCGTACGAAAATAAATTCCGTCCGAAAATTTCCTGCTATACAGTATCAGCACTCAGCACCAATCACCATGTCATCCTTGCTCTCAGCGGTGTAATGTGTGCAAAGTAGAGCACAAGAAAGAAATACTAGACTGGTCTGCACATACCGTGGCACGTGATCCCGTCGCCATAGAAACCCTGCTTGCACCTGCATTCGTAGCTGCCCCGTGTATTGGTACAGACGGCACTGCTATGGCATTCCGCAGCTTGCGAGAGGCACTCATTATCATCTATTACAGAAGAAACATGCAGAAAAGCCACCTCTACAAATTTAGTTTGAAGTACAAAATCTACGATTACAACTAATGATATTCGACAACGCTTGTTTAACGCAAATTCTATTACAATGAGAATCTGTTCTTGCAAGTCGGGTGTAGTATTCATTCACAAAACCTGAGACTTACAAAGACTAGAACAGATGAAACATGGTTACGAATCCAGTTGAGGGTGTTAAACATTGTTACAGGCCCGGTGGAACAGGTGCGGCTGGTCAGACCATGAAGGACCAGTGGGTGCCTACACTGCTGAGGAAGTCACGTGCACCCGCCATACCAAAACAAAGTATGACACCAGCCATGCAACACGCGGATAACTGTTGCACTTGAGGACCAGTACTGCCGAGTAATACAGCCATCCGTAATGATGATGGTGGTTTATCTTCTGGTGCTCTGGCTACGCTACTGTCTTGGAAACCCACTGTTGCGGTGATGTTGCTTGAATGACTACTTACAACGGGACACTCGGTCGTTTTCTGTTCATTTCATGAGCCATATTCTGTGGCTGAACAAAAACCCTCCCCTCAAGTAGTTGTTGGATGTTTCAGGAACTCACCCGGGACGTATCGAGTGATTATGAGGTTCCTGTTCCATGTATTGTCGTATGGTTAAGGGACTTCAGTTATAAAGTCAGTGTTCTCAGTGTTATTGCCTTTAATAGTTATCGCCAGTGGTGATAACGAAATCCTGAAGAATAACTCTGGTATGGCCGGACTAAGCAAACAGTGCTTCAGCCGGTCTTGCGTTACCAATTCCTGTCCCAACCTCTACCACCATATTGCAATTTTCCCAATAAAACAAATTCAAAAATTCTTTCACGTACCAATGCATATGGTTTGCTCGGTACTCCGAGTGTACTTCTTCTCTAGTGCCTGCAAATGTGTCACCACTGTGTTTGATGGATTTCTCAGCTGCTGGATTTCCACCGACACTGTGCAGGTCCACGTCATCGTTCCAGCTACACGGTTACCATGGGGACATGTAGGAAGAGGCAGGTCATCGGCAGTTCTGTGCGAGCTGTGAAAGTGCTCATGCTGCCCTGGCGTAGCCGGGTTGCGCGATGTCTGCTGTGTCTTGTCAGGATGCACTGTTCTCCACTCTGAAGTTGAACACATCAAAGAAAGTCCATTGGTTTGAGGCAAAGACGCAAACGGGAAAAGTCTGAAGAAAAGATTGACTGTCACCACCAGGACTAGAACCAGGGACCTTTGCCCGAGGCCAGTGATGCTCTAACCACCGAACCATCATCAAACAATGTAATAGGGTTTAGTCGGGGAAAATGTAGTCTACATGTACCCCAAAATGGAGCCAATTTTATGCAGGCATAATGTGTACGAGGTCATCAATTTCTCCACAGCAATAATCGAAACCACCACAAGTAACTTTTGATCCAGAATAATTACCATGGAGAGTTCTAAGTTTGCAAACATATCAAAATAGTTTGTTGTGCGTGTGCAACTCACCATTTTCTGAATCCCTACAGCAAAGAGCTCCGGTCATAGCGCCGGCCTGGAAGTGGCACGCTTCGTGCTCAGCCGATGGCCGTGATGCGTCGATCCTGTCCGAGCCAAAGCATGATCTTTCCTGTTTGGCTTGGTAGGGACAGTCAGCGCCGAATCCCGCCATGGTTCTACTGATGGGCTGCTCTAGATGTCGGCGATTGATGACGTTATCGACGCACGGACCACAAGTCTCGTTGTCATTGGACGCGTCCATGGCGTAGCAACCCCGGAACATGTTGGACGTCTCCAGACTGGTACCAAGGAGGTTGTCGCGCCACGAGCACACGCGCCAGCCCACGGCACACACGCTGCAAGTGCCCAGCAGGACATGGCCAGTCCAGGTGCCAGGGCAAGCGTTGATTTCATTTGCCTCTATCACTACACCTCCCTCCTTGTGTAGACAACCTGCAGCGGGTAAACGTCAAACGTCAAACATGTACAGCATTCAGGTCTCTGGAGTTGAACTGACAGATTCTCAGTAACAATTTAGATACCCATTCACATCAACATACAAAATGAGACAGCTAGGAAAATGGGAAAGAATCTAGGGTGTTGATCGGGTTTGGGGAATGAAACTGGAGGGAAAATTCTACAGAACAATGGACCATCACCATCAGGACTCAAACAAGGGACCTTTTATAGTCCAGCGATTCTCTAACCACAACAACAATCTAGGGTTTAGTCTTCAAATAATCACCTAGAGAAACAAATGAACTTGTGTATATGCTATCACAACTTGGGAGCAGAGGTTCGTTCTTGGAGATAAAGTTACATGCATGGGACACCACCCCTAACACATTGAATCAGACAGCGCACGCTAGTGGTGAGGCTAGATGCCTCAGTGGCCTCAAAGTGCCCAATCCCCAATTCCCACACCAGACCCATCTGCAAATAATCATTCATAGCTTCTATAGAAGAAGAATACGGAGCAAATGTACCCCAGCCCCCCCCCCCCCCCTTCACTTCTGCACCCAAGACCAGTCTAATCTCCACGGTGATGCAATCTTACATTATCTGAGAATGAAATGTAGAATGCAGTCGCAGACTAACACCTTTCAAAAGCTCAACTGAGTACACAATGAGTACTTTTCTTTGTAGTACCGGTAAACTAGATAACGAGGTTCCATAAGAGACTGTCTGAATTCTGATTCTTCGATTTAGGTGCCTTCTATGAAAAAATATTCATAGATCGCGTGAGACTCGGCTGGAGCTGCATCCATAGGAAGTTGGGAACACTACCACCCTCTATGGACCAAGGCACAGATGCATCTCCTAAAGCAGTGGGAGGTGAGTACATTAGACCCATCACGGAGTAGCCTTCTCTAAAGAAGGCACCTATATTAGTAAAAATGCACTACACTTTAGCCAAATATATTATGTCGGTGCGTCAGTGGCCATTTTCAAGGGATGGGATTTCTTTGTTCAGCACAGTATAATTATATTCGGATTATGGTCCTTGGCAGCATCCACGGCCTCCCTGTGATGTTTCCAAGACGAAAGACTGCACCATGTTATGTACAAAGCTGAAGGGTCTGCGTATCATTTTATCCCAGACTTTCCACACCACCTTTTCTGGAATAAGAAGGATTTGTCGGTCATATTGAGCAATAGGTGCAGTTCTTCGTATAACAATGTGCATTTTGTATCGAGCGGCGAGTAAGTGTTTTGAACTACCCCTCAAAACGAGGACCTTCAAATCATGAAGTAAGTTAATAAACTCGATACCTTGAGCATTGTCTTTCCGCCATGCTGCCGATACACAGGATATCTGCACCATTACGCTGAGCAGTACACTGGCAAGGAGCCATTTCGCCAGAAGAGCACCACGATTCCTTGATCCGCTAGCTCCACCTGGGAGACCAGGCGCGTTGTACATAGTAGAGGAGACCATATGTGGGCTCTCCACTAGCTGCGTTGACAGATCCGCGACACCACTAATCACTGATGACAAGCCCTGCGACAGATAGCTGGATTTGTTAGTATGACACCGAACGGCTCGTTTCTCTTGGAAGCGGAGGAGGTAGTCAGGGGCCTGTGTCCCCTTCCTGAAATGCAGGACCCTTCAGTGAGAAAAAAAAGGTGAATTGAGATCTTCGAACTAAGTAACTACTTTCATCCCATCCTCTCATCCTTCGCTATGGCACACCACATCGTGTAACGCGAAACTCGAAAGCGTTCCGATACAGTTCCAACAATACAGTTCCGCTGTGCGCAGACCTAAATTCGCTTCCTTTCTTTTCTTTCCCCTCTTATCTGAATCTCTTGAACGGTACTTACCCTCGTGCAGAACCGTTAGCTGACAACACGAATGACACTAACTCCCGTCCTTTCTCGTTCCGTAGCAAGCCATCGACGCACACGGCAACGGTACTTGAGCTTCAATGCGCTA